GTTAATAGCCAAGATTGAAAACATTTGTAGGGAGGGGCTGTTTTTGATTATGGGGCTCAAACTCACTTGCTGAGTTTGGGAGAAACTCAGGCCCAGGGAGGTTAGTGTACAGTGGCGGAACGAGGATTCTGGACGCTTTTCCGTGTTTTGATGAAAGACTGTATTAAAAGCAGTGTTTGTTGCAAGTCCCCGAATAACAGCACCACCAGGAGGAAGAAGGTAGAAGATGGTAAGTTTGGGTCCATCTGGGCAGCTTCACAGCTCCAGCCCACGCTTTCTTACACCATGGTTTTCTCATCTTTCACTAAGAGGTCTTCCCTTTGCAGACCTCTGTGCTTGAGGTGGGCAGGAGTGGCTGACCACAGCTGGACCCTCTGCCCCACTTCTATCCCCTGTAGGGGCTCAAGTGTGGGTGGGAGCCGGGCGTGTGGAAGTGGCACATCAGCAGAGGGTTGCCGCCCTGAACACAGGTAAGTGTAAGGGCACAGGATCAGGGTGGGCAAAGGAGAAGTCTCCAGGCAACCCGTACCCTTTTCCAGGAAGCCCCACCACCTCTCTGGGCCCAGTCCACTCACTTCCTATTATGAATTTGTCCTGCCTTTTTCTGGGGTTCTCAATGAAGTTTTTTTTGGGTCAAATGTTGCTTGAAACCAGAAGACTATTGGCCTTTCCTGGAAAACCTCTTGCTTTGGAAAGCATAGCTGGATTTGACTGTAGCAAGATGTGAAAATGCAACTTGTTTTTCCCAAAGCTGCTGCTGACTGGCTCTCGGTCAAGTCTCTTAGGAATCCGGCTTGTGAATCATCCAGAGTCGTTGTGAAGCCTGTGTGATCCTGGTCGGCCTCGTGAAAGGCGGACATGTATTGACTCATGCACTGTGTTCTTGATTCTTGTTTTTCCTTCTTTTCTAGTATTAAGGGACATCAGCGAAAGAGGGAGGGACCTTGAGCAGATTTTATCTCAGTACATTACATTCGTCAAGCCTGCCTTTGAGGAATTCTGCTTGCCAGTGAGTTGTGTTCTTGTTTTTCATTGAATTTAGTCTTTAAAATGTAATCAAACAAATAAAGATCTGTAAGTTGAGCTCCCTGGCTGGGATTTCACTCATTCCCTCCTCTATCCTCAAGTCCCAAGAAAGGGCAGCCTTTGGTGCTTTGTTTCCTATCACTGTGTTCTCCAAGAGCTCTGTCCTGCCACTCTTTTTCTGGGGTACCCCTTCAGGATCCTGCTGTCTGATTCCAGCAAGCTGTACACTTCTTGCTTGGTAGGCTTATGGTGTGAGACTACCTTTGAGACCACCTCATGGTGTGAGACCCTTTATCGAGGGTGCATCAGTATCCCAGGATAGACTCAGCCACATGGGTCTTCAGAAGGTCTGTGATGGTTGGAGTACTGGTGGCGGAGGCCTCAGCTACAAGGTATTCCCTTCTGAATCTCTTCTGCCACTACATCTGAGCCCCGTTTCGAGCCTGTCGTTAGTCCCTGTGTAAGTTCCCATTTGGGAGGTTCGCCATATTGGAACAGCCTTCTGTACTTCTGCCCTAGCAGGGCTCTGTCAGGCCTCCCCACGGCAGCTGGGAACTCTCTAGTGAGGTGGCTTTCAGAGAAGGAAGGGTGAGGACGGGGGAATTCTCAGCTTTTAGCGAATGAGCCCTCAGCCTAGGAAACACCCCAGCTTCTTCATGAAAGACCTGCGAACGTTGAGGGAAGACCTCAGGGACATGAGGTTTGGAGTGGTGGGGTTAAGTTCTGAGAGAAAGTGAGAGAGGTTGGGTCTTCGTCTTGTCTTGGGTGATGCCTTCAGGGAGATGAGAGGTGTAGAGTGCGGCCGAGTGTGGGGATTTCTCTGCTTCACCTAATAATTAACTTCTTTTTCCTCCCATGGAAAAAAATATGACCCCAAACCGTCTTTCTTTCTTTTTTTATTTTTATTGGAGTATAATTGCCTTACAATGTTGTGTTAGTTTCTGCTGTACAATGAAGTGAATCAGCTATATGTGTACTTATATCCCCTCCCTCTTAGATCCCTGCCATCCCACCCATCGAGGTCACCACCTAGAGCAGCGAGCTGAGCTCCCTGTGCTATGCAGCAGCTTCCCACTAGCTCTCTATTTTACACATGGTAGTGTATACATGTCAGTCCCAATCTCCCAATTCATCCGCCGCACCCCACCCCTGCCCATCCCCCCCACCCCAGGGGCCCTCTTTGTTTCTTTAAGTCTGTTAGTAGGTTTTGCATCAAAACAGACTTGACATTTGTTTCAGTCTGGAACCAGGCAGACTTTGAGTCAGCCTGAGTAACGCTGATGCCCTGTTCATTCCCCTGGAGAGGATTGGGTCACAGGATTAGGTTTCTGGGAAGAGGGCAGAAGTGGCTGTGGAGTTGTGAAATTCTAGCCATCCATCTGAGGACCTCTCCTGCTCTTTTTAACTTAATAATAAGACTACAGGGCTTCCCTGGTGGCGCAGTGGTTGAGGGTCTGCCTGCCGATGCAGGGGACGCGGGTTCGTGCCCCGGTCCGGGAAGATCCCACATGCCGCGGAGCAGCTGGGCCCGTGAGCCATGGCCGCTGAACCTGCACGTCCGGAGCCTGTGCTCCGCAACGGGAGAGGCCACAACAGTGAGAGGCCCGCGTACCGCA